TTTTGCTACTACCGTTCGCCCCTTTTCATTCTGACTAAGAGTATGTGACCCACTTTGTGAGGGGGAAAGCAATACGTTCCAAATCTCTCAGAGCACAGTGGCCCAAGTAAATTTTTTTTTCCTGAGCATGTATGATTTCACAGGTTTCAGATTTTTCAAATAAGAAATTTAAATGAAAAATAAAAAAATGAATGTGCCTGTGCAAGCTTCCAAATTAAACCATGCAAGAACCAAAGATATAGGATGTGTAGTTGCTGCCAAAGCAGGGCTGAGTGTTAAGTGTTCAGTGTTCATCATATATAGCACTGCCCTTGAAACAAAAGCAGTAGTTATTTAAAGTAACCATAAGCAATACTCATGTGCAATTCAAAGGAGATCGGATATAAAGAGATAAAGATTAGACTACAGCAATACGGCTTTCATTATACAATGTAATCCAGCGTGTCTGATGTAACTGGATGTGACACAAATGTAAATAGCAACAGCTCTGGAAGTACAGGGTTTTCCAAGTTTAGCATGCTTTCAAAAATAACTTTTAGTAAGTTCAAAAACAATCTTTGAAACAATGCTTTTAAAAAAGAACCTGCCACATACTTGCTAAAAGTAAAATATGCATAAGTAATTAGTCATGTTATGCAAGATCAAACAGAAATGCTATTTGAGAAAGAACAAAATATTTAATCTTGAAAATAGATGTGGGTACCAAATACAAAGATTTCAGCCATTTGGAGATGCAGATGCATTTGAAGGCAAAGTGGAAAACCTATATAAAAAGGAATTTTGAAGATTAACATAAAGCTTAAATAAAATACTTGCTTCAGAATATGAAACAATGACAGATCCATCATGCGGTGACTCCAATGGCACTCCATTTCCTTACTGAATTACTATACTTGTATGCAATTTGCACTATATCCAAGAAGATGTTTCACTTTTAAACATCAATGATTTTATTAATAGCTTTCAGAAAATTAAATAGAAATTAACATAACAAAAGCTACCCACTTATTTGACTAACGCTTAGAATATTCAGATTCAAAAGAAATATATTTCAGATTAAAGAGAAACTCCTATGTTTTGCTAAACTTCCTGATCTTAAAATATTGATGCCAATGCTTAAAAGTAAGCAAGCGACTAATACTAATTCCAAGACAACCTGCTTTTTGTAACAAGATCACACAGTACAATGAGCAATGGGAACTTGGCCCATGAATTTTAGGAGGTGCAACTATAACATACCATTGTTTTTCAAGGTCTTAAAAAGTGATAACTAGGGTGAGGCCTTGACTACCATAATTTTTTCTCAAAATGAAGGAATCAAAACTTCTTATTTCTTTTAAAAGAAAAAAATTGTTTGCAGGAGACGCTGAACCACTACAGTATTTATCTTTTTAATCTAAATTGTTGGAAAACGATCCCACCAGCTATTTTCAAGAATGTCTCAGCATTTCCTGGTGACTACCATGTGTGCCATAGATTAACCTTTGGCATATACTGTTAAAGATCCACCTCCTTCAAAATCTCAGAATACAAGTCCTGCATTTCCCAATTACAAATCATTGAACTGACATCAATGCTTGAAATATCTTGGTCTGTCTTCCTCCATCTATATTCCTCTGTTTCTCCTTCTTTCTTCATGTTCTTACACCTGTATTCTCCCATATAACCCCAAAAATATTTTATTTGGATTAATATATTCTTGATCCTACCATACATTTTTGGTTTTGTTCAAATTACACAAACACACTAAGAATTGTCCAAATATAAATGACCACTCTCTTTGGAGAGTAATTCAAATATATGAGAAATTTCAAAGATAGCCTATATTTAGGAGGGCATTTTTCATGCATTATCTGCACAGATCTTCAATATTAAGTTAATGCCAACTAACAATGCAAGACAGATGAGGAGTTAGTGAATGCTGAGCCTGTCTGAAGGGATATTTGGGAAACTGTATCCAGCAAATGGCAGCAATGAACCCCTACATTGGTAGATTCTCACACCATATTCCAGCTACGCTAAGGCATGCAAGAGCAGCTCCTCCCTCCTCCTTTCTGGGCAAGGTCAAAATACTAATTTAAGCCAAAAGAATAAAAGGGAGGGGAAATTCCTAAAAGCGTGCACTGGCCTTGGCTGACTTGCAGCTGAGACTGGTGCCAATTTCAGCTGATGTCTCCTGAGTGAATACCAAGTGGTGTCAGTCCACCTGCATGGCTCATAGCACCCACAGCACTGCAACAGGCTTGAGAGCCCACTCAGGAGAAGCAGTGCAGCAGCAGTAAGGGAGCTTTACCCAGGTAACAAGTGGCAGACAGGTTGCAGCCTGGCAGGCAGAAGGGGGCAAGTCACCCTGAGTCCTGTCCTGTGTAGGATTAAACGGACTGAACCACCAGCAGTTTGATGGGTTTAAGTCACCTGTTCAACATTTCCTTTTGAAAATGCGGAACACTCAGACTATCAGCGACAAGTGCATGACAATTTAAGACGCAGCCAATTTTTCCCCTGCAATGAAAGCATGTCTAGCCTCCAAGACTCCCGACTCAAACCCTCATCTATTCTTTCACACCCATATGGTGTGAGTCTGAGCTTGCTGTTAATTATGGGACTGGTCAGCTCATCTTCTCCCCAGCTGCCCTGCTATTTTAATCACACTGTGTTTGAAACTAAGTGTGATGGTCTCTCCACAACCAACCAAAGTCAGTCTTTGGTGCAGCCTCAGTGCTGTCTGTGGCAGCTGATAGCACACATAACACTTAAGCCGGCCAATGGAAGCCACAGTTAACAGCTCAGCCTTTCAGAAACCCACTAAATCATTACTTTTATTGGTCTTAAGGAGAAAAAGCAATGGGAGAGGGGTGATAGACTGAGAATCCGAACAAACCTTTCGGTGCCACACAGGCATGGCCAGGTGCTATGAGCAAGGACTGCTACGTAATCCCATCCATTGACCCCAAACCTGAAACCCAGAAGTCAAATTACAGTAACAGCTGGCAAGGGCCAGTATGTCTCTAACTATAAAGCTTTAGCCCAGTGCTGAAAAAATGTCTTAAATGAGTAATTCTGAAACATAATGAAGGTGATGACACAATAAGAGCTCACTGCATTTTTCAGATATCCAAGTTTTACCGTTGTGCTGTAAAACTAACCATGCAGCAATGCTTACCTGTGTATACAAACCCCCACAAATGATACTGGAAGTCAAATCTTGCTCTCACTCAAGACTCCCATAGGCCCAGTTGGTGAAGTGAAGCCGTGGCAAACCCACAGCTTCAATCAGTCGGCAAAAATTCCTGCTTAGTTACGTAATTCATTGCCCAGGTCAATTTATAAAACTCACTGTTGCTTTCTAAATTAAAAATCAATTCTGTATAATGTTAGACTCCTGACTGAACAGGAAATTATAAACTCCACGACTCTAACACGATTACATGACAACAATTTATGGTACTGAGTCTCCAAATCTAGAACACTTTCGCTGTTTTGTTAACTGCTTAGTGCTTTTATGACTCTCTGAAAGCAAATGCTTGTATTGTATTTGCTTTAACTGAAATTCTAAAATACAAATGGCTTTACTCTGCAGCATTGCCTGCAAAATAAATTGGATATCCTGTCTCTCTTTTTTTCTTTAAAGTAAATTATATTAAGTTATCATTAGTGAACAATACAATTACTGTTTTATAATTAGCCTTTAAATCAAATAGTGGCAAGAGATGTAAATGTAAATTTGACTGAGAGCTGAAAACAATAAACGATAATGTTGAATGAGAATTGCCGATATGTCCATATAAACTTCAATAACTTTGGCTTTTTGAGTTGTGTTTTTTTTAATTTATTTTCTGTCGCTTCTTCCTGGAGTCTGCAGTTCTAAGGGCAGATGAATATGAACCATCTTTCTCCACGAAGGCCACCTTCACACAAATCCCTTTTTTTTTTTTTACTTCTTTAAATGCGAAACTCTGGCTTCTGGAACTGTGGTGAGTGGGAGACCCGTAACAGAAAATACCCCGGAGTTACTGGTGCGTAATTTACGGGCTCGTTTTCTGCTTGCTCGGCGTTAGGGCGACGGGTCTGTTCCGCGGTGCAGCCCCGGGCACCGCTCCCCGCCGCAGCGCCTCGCTCCCCCTGCAGCACCCGCACTGCCGAAGGGACGTGTTGCATCTGCTTGACCCGAAAGAAATCAAATGTACCGAGCCTAAGCCACGTCCCACCCAGAAACGCCTGGGAGAGGAGTTTTAAAAGTTATTTTTTTCTTCAGCTTTCACGCACCGCGTCAAAAGGCTCCGCTGCCGAAATCTCTCTGTTTCAGCTCCTCTGCCGAGAGAGGCTCCCCGAGCTGACCCGCCCGGCATGGCGGGAGGAGCAGCTCCCCCGGGATGTACCCCGCTGAGGGTCCCCGCGACCCAGCCTCGCCTCCAGCCCGGGGAGACAAGGCCGGGAACGGGCGGCCGCCCTCGGCCGAGCGGCGGGGCAGGGAGAGCCCCGGCTGCCGCCCCCGCACGCCTCCATCATGTTGTCTCGGTGCGCAGCGGCGCGGAGGAGGCACCGCCGCCGCCAGCCCGGCTCCGCGGGGGCCGCCCGGCTCCTCCCCACGGCCTCCAGTTCGGGCGTGGAAGCGCTGCCCCGGCCGGCAGGCGCGGCAAGCCCAGCCCGGGCCGCATGGGGGGAAGCTCTGTGCGGAGGAGGGGCCGCGGTGCCCGCCGGAGAGCACGGCCGTAGGGGCGGAGAGTCTCCTCCTCCTCCTCCACCGCCGCCTCCTCCTCCTCCCGCAGCGAGGCTCCGGCTCCCCGCACGCACCGGAGCGCTCCGCTCCCTCCTCCCGCTCCTCGTCCCTCCTCCCTTCCCCTCCTCCCCGCTTCCCTCCCCGGGTCGCCGCGGCTCCGGGAGGAGCGGGGGGGACCCCGCTTCCTTCCCTCCCTCCCCCCCTCCTTCTCCCACCCGCCACGCCGAGGAGAGGCAGGTGAGGCCCCGGCCGCGTCCCCGCTCCGCCGCCCCGCGGGAGCGGCGGCCGCGATGGCGGCGGCGATGGAGGCACTAGGCCCCGGCCGCCCGCCCCCGGCCTCGCCCCGCCGCCGCGCCTCGGGGGCGTCCCGCAGCCCCGGACCCTTCTCCTCCGCAGAAACTTTCTTGGCAACTTTCTCCCGGGCCCGAGCCCCTGCCCGCGGGGCCGAGAGGTCGGGCAGGCGGGCGCCGAGCCGGGCTGGGCGGGCTGCGGGGGGCGGGCTGCGGGCGGTAAGTTTGTAGGGGGAGGCCCCCGTGTCCCCCTCTGTGCTCGATTCCCCCGCAGCCCTTCCCGCGGGGCTTCCGTGGTCGGGGGGGCTGTGGGGCGGCCGCTTGTCCCCCGGCGGCGGCTGGTGCTCGGACTGAGCCGGTCCCGGCTCAGCTCCCGGCGCGGGGCCGGAGGATGTTAAAGGGCGAAATTCAGGAAACTGGTTTGCGAGTCGCCTGCAGCTTGGCCTGCGTGGATTTATTTTCTATTAATTTCTTCCCTTGCCCTCACTGTTCTGGTTGTATCTCTGCATCGAGCCTGGAATACGACTGCTTTACATTTCTGAGTCATTAATTTAAGTGTTCGATCATCACATTTCATCAAGCCTCCTCGTCTTCCTTACAGTTTAAAAAAAAAAAAAAAATTGTTGGACACACACAGGCCCTGGTTCCTGCGGAGGCTGCACATAACTTTCTGCCCTGTGTGGACCGGCAGGCTTGATGTGCATAAAGTTGTGTGTTCATCCCTCAGGCCCAGGGCTAGCGTGTCTTCTTCTCCATTATACTATATTACAAGTATTATGGGTTTTATTGTTCCCAGTGTCTGGCGTGCATGGGGGTATGGTCCACTGTTCACTGGGAAAACTAGGATAAAAGTATTTCTGAACCTCATGTTTTTAAGAAGGTGTATTCAGGTGTACCTGCTGAATTTACCCCTAAGCAGAGACTGGTCATTAATTAAAAATCAGGTGTGTGAGTTTACTTAAACTGGCAGAATGTTCTAAAACCAGTTTGAAAATTGGGACTATTGACAGTGAAGATGTATTGTTTTACTCTTAGTAATTCATAGATCGGTGAATGAAATTCTAGGCAAATTTTGCAAGCGAAATTGACCTTTAGTCAGGGAAGCAAATACAGAAGTTTACTTCAGACTCTTTTGCTTTCCTTTTTGGAAAGTAAGACTTGAAGAGGGATATCTAATAAAATTACTTTATCAGTTACACTTGCAGTTTCTCGGTAGGTAGTATAGTTTTGCTGTAACTATGTTTCTGCTTTGAAAACGTAAGAACTGTTCCTTTCCAAACAACAAAACCTTACGCTTCCTCCTCATGTTCTGATGTGTGTCTGTAAGTTCAGTTATAGGAGGTTCCTATTGAGCATAGGCATAGGGTGGAGACTGTGTGTGTGTGTTTTGCTCAGCTAGGGTGTTGTGGGTAATTTTGGGACAAGGTAGCATCTGTGATGGGAACAAAAAGACAGTAACACTGCCACTGTGCTGAATTTCAAAGAAAAAGATCCAGTGATACCAGGCGTGTGAAAGGGTAACAGTAGTTGGTAGCAGCGATTGCCAGTAATTAATTATTCCACATGCATCGTTAGCTTTACTTTCTTAGCAGGTGCAGCTCAAATGTAACTACAAGATCTGTGTGCCTTCAGTCCCTCCAATAACTTTTCTGGCTCTTAGCTGATTTCAAACAAATTTGGCAGCAGAGGTCTCCCAGGTGAGCAATTTCTGCAGAATTTGTGAAAGTAGGGAAGCCAAGTGGAAGAGAGCTCTTAACTTGCACACCAGAGAGTTCACGTCAATGCTTACCTCAGGCTGGACCTTGATGCAGGAAGTGGGGCCTCCCTGCTTTTACTGATTGCAGAGCTGCGGGTTCAGTTTTCAATAATTATTTAATATCTGGACCCCAACACCATAACATTGGAATAACAGTAGTGAGCCCAAGGTGGCTTTAATCTGTATTTCATATTATAAAGGTAGATTTTCAGGGAAATATTTGTTACCTGCCAACAGTTCTTTGGCTACAAAATAAATGAACAAAATTGAAAGTATATTTAAATTGCTAATTATTTGAAATAGCTAGAAAAATAGTAAATCTTTGGTGTGCTGCACACTATGTAATAGAATTATTGCAAAACTTCATTGTTTAGGTTTTTTTATCAATATTAATGCAACATATCAGAGAACTATGCTTCTGCACTAAAGTAATGTTCTTTATTTTGAACTTTGCATACTTCTGCAACTCCTGAAGAATGAAATTGTTGCTCTGTTCGGTCTGATAAATGACAGCTGTCATGTGACCATGATGCGAAAGTCTGCAGTGTGGCACATGTCAATTTGTGTGGTCAAAGTTTACTTTATGAAGAAACTAGCTGCATGGTTTTACTTTTCTTATGGGTGCTGCCTGTGGACAAAAGCTGTGTGTTTTCAATAGATAATTCCTTGTGTTCAAAACGTTAGTTAAAAGAAATATGTTCTTTCATCTGTATTCCCTCCTTGCATCCACCTGTTTTGCTGCATACTTTGATCACAGTTCGAGTAAGATACCTTGATGTTAATGTAAAAATTGGTGTCAATACGAACACAAAGACTTTAGGAAGGTGTCCTTATTCTGCTATGTCACATCAAGCAACCTTTTTCAGATAGGACATCTTCCATGTATACATACATGGCCTGTGGTTTCTGTGAAGTCCTCATGAAAGGTTTCAGCTTCTATTACTGGAAGTTCCATGGTCGTTGATGGAACAGATTGATCAGTAAGGGAGAACTGTAGCTTTCTCTAACTACTGTAACAGAATGGGTTAGTTTTTATCCTGGAGGAGCCACTCCAAATACAAGTAGATAGAAAATTCTCAGGATATGTTTCATTTTTGTTCTCCTTGAGAGTGCCAGTAGGAGGCTGTTTTATAGCGATGGATTTTATGATGTGGCAACCACTAATTTTTAAATTTTTTTTTTTAAAACAGACTGCCTTATGGTTGCCATGTGGGAACTTCTTGCCATCACTACATGGCTGCATTCACACCAGTGACGTAGAGCTGTAGGGTTCCAGACTGTATTATCAATTGCCAGGTTTTGAAGGTAAACCTGGACAACTTCCTGTGTGTAGGCTGAATTTAGTAGGGAAGAAGTCATATTGAAAAGATACTGTCAACTAATTTTAGGTTTTAAGAGGTTGTTCTTACTGCCTTTTGCACTTATGAGTATTCATCCTTGGTGGTGCCAGTGCATCAAAACAGAAACTGGCACCAAAGTAAGTTATTGAAATGAGTGGGACTGTACCCTTAGGTAAATTTAACATGGATAGCTGATTGCAGGATCAGAGATGATAGTTATGTTAATGCTTAAAAGTGAGTAAGTAAACATTATTACTTATTCATGAGTTTTGTTCCCTTTAGATTTAAACAAATATTTTTTGAAAATTTGAAAAGGCAAAGGATAATTGGAAATAGGATGGGAAATACTCTGTTGTCACTTTGGATGGGCACCATATAGAGCACCAGGTTTCATGACATGTCCTGTAAGTCAGTGGATCAAAGTGATGAAATGGAGCCCTTGAGCTGAGGATCTCCTGCAAGGACTGCTAGCCCTGGCTTGTATCTGAGCCCCACAGCCTAGTGGGATACTGCTGTAGGGATCATCACTAAGTGCATCTAAGGCTGTGTTGACTGTTGTGGCCAAGACTGGGGTTTTGCTTCGATTTTCCTTGACTGTAGTGTTAGGTAATGTTACAGGGTATGGTTGGAGAGTGCTGAGGAAGTAAAACCTCAGACTGGAATAATTTCTGTTTCAAGTTCTTGAGTACTCTTAGTTGTTGCATAGGAAAATAGATAACTTTTTTGTTAACCTGGCTGTATTTTATCTTTGTATTTTTGGAAGGCAAGTGCTTTTATAATAGTGTTATATGAGACTAATAAATATCAGTATTGACTGCACCTATATCTTAAATATTTACATAAATTTTGAATTCTGATGGTGCTACTGAACATCAAATAATTTGTCTTTCAAGTTGTTGGTTCAGGGGTATGAAAAGCTTCTATGGCTTAAGATGTTTCTATTAATGTTTCTGTGGCTTTTTTCACACCAGAGGTCTAGAGAAGTCTGGGAAAATGATTCTTCGGAAGTGTTGAACCATCTTCTCAGTTCATGTTTTAGGATCAGCTAGACCAGGCTTACAGAACTGAATAACTTTATTTACTTACATTGACAGTGAAGTTGAGTAAACACACCTACGTGAGTAAATCTTTGTAGATCAGGGCCTTTAACTTTGTTTTGGACAAACTTTCAGGAGAATTTTGTGGCATTAATCAGACATTTAAAGTCAGTCTTCATATTGGAAGACTTTGATTTAGTGGGGTAAATTTCCCTTGTTTGCACATGCCCAAAGTGCTTTCTAATCTTGCAAAACAAGAGACAGTACTGGTATTTTGTTCATAATATGACTGATGGAGAATAAATGTAGTCACATCTCATTTATGCTTACCAGGACTGACAGCCCTGTAGCAAAAGAAAGGTCGGAGTGGAGGACTGTGTTTGTGTTCCAAATGTTTGCCCATAGTTCAGGCAAGCATTTTCATGGTGCATGTAAACTTCAGCTTCAGGAAAAAAATAACAGTATCTGGGCTAAAGGTTTTGGAATTTTCAGTCCTACTTAATGCCCTCACAGTTTTAAGGAAAGGCAGTGCTTGTTCGAGGTATTGAAAGAGTAATTAGAGGGTGCTATGGGTCTCTTGTGTATTGCAATTGTATAGCATTAGAACTGTTTTGGCAGTCAGCCAGGAAAGGAAGACTTGAAACAAATTAATAGCGAACAATCTGGGTTTAATAAGTTATTTTAAGTATGGTTAGATAACAAAATTAATATTTATGCCTAAAAAGTGACAAAGGAAAAACAGGTCTCAGTTGTTAAGTGTATCTTTCTGCTTTTCAAGAACATTTTATTGGAAACTCAAATCATGACTGACACTTGTAACCATAGAAGAATAAAAGAAAAACTATCCAAAGTCCTTCTCTTACTTTACATACTCTGTTTCAGTTTGATCTTTACCAGCTTAGTGTGTTCAACATAAATACTGTTTTCTCAGTAACAGGATACCCCAGAGTCCAGAAGCTAAAAGACTGCACCAAGGATGGCACAGCCACAGGCTCTCCTAGTTCTTGGGCTCCCTTCCTGAGCATCCAGTATTGCCCAGCATCTCAGATGGTGGGAACCAGTGGTGGACCTCTGGTCTAACTCAGAGATGTTTGATCTTGGTGGACTTCTGGTCTGGTTCATAGCAGCTGGTCTTTCAATAGGCTTAACTTAACAGGTGCCTCAAAGATGCACCTGTTAAGTTTTTGTAGTATTTCACCTTTTAAGGTTTTGTTCAAAGTATGCTCCACTGAAAAATGAATATAGAATTAACATCTAGAAAATACTCTTGTTTTCAAAGTACACATTTATCTGAAACTAACATTCATTTGCCAAACTGTAGGAAAGGAAACATTAGCAAAGCTGAGATTGAGGAAGGAAATTTGAAAATAAATACAAAAGTTCTGGATTTCATTGTAAAGTGTTTAGAACAAATCAACAAGTTTAGTCATACATCTTGTTAGTTCTCTTATATCTTCTTTCTTTGCTTTGATTTTGACTCTTTTTCTGGAGGTCTGCAGTTGGAAATTAAAACCTTACCTTACTGATTTCCAAACCGAGGTCTTAAGAGGCATAATGACAGACAAGGTGTGTAGTGTTTTGGTTAGTAGTTTAACAAGGATAGTCTGTGAGAAACAGAGAATGAAGTGTGACATTTAGGTCTGAAGCTTGTATAAAACAGTGGTCTCTGGACATCATAAAAATCTGCACCAAACCTAACTGAAAAATTCACATTTTAAAGATCTGTGAAGTTGTGGCATTTATATTCATGTGAGTACTAAGCAAAGATGAAATGAAATGAGAGGAAAACTTTTGGTTATAAAAGCGTTTTGTGTCCCTTTTCCTGTAACTTCTTAAGCTGAAAACAGAACATACCAGCAGAACATTTTAAAACTTCTGATGTTTTGTTGATCCATAGTATTAATATTTTTTACTAGCTCTGACTGCAGCAGTTCAGTTGAAATACTACACATTTCCTTAGAACTGTGAACTTACAGAAATGCTCTGATGAAGATGCAAACATATGTAATAATGCACCTCATGAACTTATAGGTAATTTCTCATGATAGAAAGTCTTGCAATACTTCAGTGGCAAGTGAACCTGAAAATACCGTGGTTTTTTTCCGTTTTACTAGTGTAAATTCACGCAAGGCTTAAATAAGTTCTGTGGGGCAAAGACAATTCTCTAGTTTGTGTGATGACTAGGCCAGGGTGTTGTGTATCATTCTTATAAGGTTTTGTTTGTTTGTTTGTTATTTTCTTTTTTTTTTTTTTTTTAATCCACTCCATTCAGGAGAAATTCTTAATGTCTCCAGTAAAAGTTTTTGGAAGTTTAGTTAGAGGGAAATTTTCAGAATTGAGTTCTTTGAGCAACAGATGGCACTTCTGATTCTGCCTTTTCTAAATAAAAAGTATTCAGGTTTTCTTCCAGCAGTAATCTCTTAAAATACAGTGTGCTCTTTGGTTTCTTAACATGTGATGTATGGGATTTTTGCCAAAGTATGTTCTTTGGTTTTGTTTCTTTGGGATTCCCCCTCCCATATATTCTAGGATAGAATATGCATTAATAGAATGATAAAGTCCTGAAAACAGAGAGAGGGATGGGTTTGTTTAACTGATACCAATGTTAAATATTTGTTTAAAGGATTATTAAAGGTTATAATGGTATTGACCAGATTAGCTCATCTGTACCTAACTGAAAAACATGCATAGGAGAGAGGAGGAGTATACTAGTTTCATTGTGGACAACCATGTTTAATTCTGTTTTCATAGTAAAGGTAAACATTGTACTGAAGAACAATTACAGCATAAAGCAAAATACTATTCCTTTTGAAAATAATTATCTACAAATGAAAGATAAGGGAAAACAAGGATAATTCCTGAGCTGTTACTGCCATTCAGTTGGGGAAGTTTTCCTGGGTAACATTTGTTTTCTCAAACCTGAAAATTATTTTGTAGTTGGTGGAAAAAAGGGTTATGTGTTTTTGTTTAGTGTTTTTTTTAGAGTTTTGTTGTTGTTGCTGTTGTTCTGTGGTTTTAAATGAGTGAGCAAAATGCAAATACAAAAGTCTCCACTTCAGAAGACAGAAAAATTAAGTGCTGGCTGCATATGGCTTTAAAGGCTAAGATGCAATAGTAATATGGATGCTTTTTTTCTTTTTTATTTCCAAGTATAGTTCTCTACTGTATTTTAAGTACAGTTATAAAAACACAACTCATAAATCATAGTGATTGAGGCTATTCAAAGTGATAAGCTTTCAAAATATCTTGCTGAATTATTGCATATTATGTAATTTGCTAAAGATATCAATCTTCTTTTTCATTTTGGGAAATATTTCTTAGCTTGTACGCTGTAGAAACCTGTAGAACTGATTGATTCAGGCTATCATGATGTACGTAAAATGAGACAAGTGTTGGTTTATAGAAGAAAAATTATTTCCCTGGAAACCATTTAACTTGTTCATGTATAGTAGGTGTATTTAAATATTCTGGAATTAATTTGCATTGATTATTACATCTAGGGCTCTTTGATTACCTCCCCTTCCCTTCAGCTTAGGTCTGACATAGCTTCAGAATACTATTTAAATCTGCTGCATACA